TGAGCCTGGCTTCTGGCTAAGCGGCGCTCCCCCGTGGGAGCACACTGACCACCAGGGAGCAGCTCCTGCATTGAATGTCTGCCCCTTGGTGATAAGTGAGTGTCATAGCAACTGGTCGTTCCGCTGTCAGTCCGAAACCGGCTCTCCAACATCCCCCGAGGGGTCCCGGATTGTAAGAGGGTGCAGACCAGACCGAGGGACCCCACCAGTGCACGATTGGTGTTGGGGAGGGATGCAGGGTGTTGGTCAGCCAGGAAGGGACCGCAGGAAGGCTCCAGGGCACATCTGGCCTGTCTCAGTCCCAATCAGCTGGATCCCAGCAGCAAGCTAACCTTCCGGTTGGAAGTCTACCCCCACCCCCCCCGGGTGCATGTCATTGCTCAACCACTGAGCCATGCTGGCTGGGCTCTATATATAACCTATAACATCTGCATCTCAAAGCAACACTAGAGCACCATCACTTTTGAAGCCTAGCTAACAGAAGACTCACCTGACAGCTCACATCCATTCCTGCTTCCAACAGCACCTGAACGACTGCTTTGTGGCCATTGCGTGCGGCGAGGTGTAGTGGGGTGTGCTTGCGAGTGTTGCAGCTCATTAAGTTAGGGTGCGCGCTGATGATCATTTTGACTACTCTCAGCCTTCCGTAAAGCGCCGCCAGGTCCAAAGGTGTTTCCAACTTGCTGTTCCTGATGGTGGGATCCGTGAGCTCATCCAGGAGAACAGCCACGACTTCCGAGTGTCCATACTGAGCTGCACAGTGTAGGGCAGTTTCATTCTCATTGTTCTGTTAACACAGACATATAAAACGTACGTTTTCAGAAACTCAATTCCTTATCAAAATGTAAACGCTATCATCTAAAACCTCAGATGCTTTGAAAATATGTTTAAGATTTATCTATTTTGATAAGTATTCCTAATGGAATTTTATATCTGATAAAAGTATGCATCATTGATTGCATCAAAAATATCACATTTGATTTTTGTCACTTCAATAGGGAAAAATCTAACATT